ACCACACATTCACTGACAGACGACAGATAACAGACACCGATATCAACGCACCGTACAGTTCAGACTGTTTTTCATTGCTTTATGAGGAGAGGTGGATTTCGTGCTCCAAGTTAAAGTAACCGAACAAACTACACACCAGTCATCTCCAAACAACCCTTTCCAGAAGAAAGAGTCTCCATTCATATTGCAAAACTGACCCGTGCAAATATCCGCGCTTTAATTAGTGTGCAAGGGCAATACAACCCATTGAATCCCTATCTTCTTCTACCGTAGTGTTATATATTGCATTGATAATATTTCTCCAGGCTCAAAATTGCCATCCCTCATCCCTTCTTGGTATTGGCATCCGACAATCATACGGCCACAAGCGAAATGGTGTAGAAAGCTGATCCAACGGCAGGTGTCTAGGGTTGAAATCCTTGGCCATGGAGATAAAATCTCTGCTAAACTGAAATTCGGAGCCAAATTGACTCGTTAGGGAAGGATTACAATTTGTAACGGTGATTATCTACTCGTGTTGGGACTCATACAAGCATACCGAACCTATCGTCCAAACACATACCTACATCGGCAGTGCCTTCGCTCAAGACTAGCAAATGACCAGACATGGCCAAGCAACAAGGTAAAGCCACACTCACCAACCACCAGGAGTTGATTGGTCACTGAGCAGCGACTAATCCCAGCTGATAGTAGTAGTGGTGTGAAGGCTAGTCATGAGTCATGCACTCAGCTGGCCATATTTGGCCACGTAATCTTGTAAGCAAACTAGCGGTCTAGCAAAACATTGAGGGGTCCGGCAGGTGAGAGTAGAGCTGCTGTTGCGTCGCTGCCAATTGTTTAAATTCTGCTGGTGAAAAGCGTAGGACCTTATTTGGCTGCTATGTATCTCGGAGTTTCGTCCTAACTTTATTCCCTTCCGCCTTTTACCACTATTTAATACTTAAGTTGCTCTCATATTGCGGCAGCCGAGGTATCCAGTATTCTTACATAAATACTGATTTGGGTTCGCTCGATATAAGCTCCCTTTCCTCACCAGACCCTTTTGCAGTAGATGTCCCCCACTCATAAGCCTACAATGTCATCGCCACTGAAACACTAGCATCAACCATTCACAGATCCAAAGGTCGCAAATTAGGCGCTGGTATTACCAATGATTAAGGCTGGAAATCTTAATGTCTCAGAGATGGCTGTTAACCAAAGAGCTTCGAACGAATCACAGAGACTCAAACACAAATCCAACCCTTCAGGGGGGCAAATGGCTTCTCGATTTGAGGCTACCAACCGGGCGTCACTTTCGTTCGTCCATGACCGAAAGCACCCGATCACACGAACAGATGCTAGAAGCCCACACCATTCTTACCCATACACACTGAGCGGCCATGCATACCCCCCCTAGTTTCTCGTCTACTATAATAATTTAAGTAAAAATTAAATAGTCAATGTCACAGCCCAACAGCAATTACGACAAAAGGAAAGTATTGTGATCGCAAAGAACTTTTTTGATGACTGATACTACATTACTCCAAATAAATGCTTGAACAAGCTCCATGTAAGGACTTGTAAATTTACATAAATAACAAGTACAAAACCTTTGACCATCTGAATGTTAAATGCATTGTTGTGTACCCAGTCATCTAAGCGATAACATGATGAGGGTGAGAGCGCCTAAGGGGATCAAAAAGTTTAAAATAATGGGATGGAATCATGAATCTCAGATGTTTTGCGGATGTTGTGTGGGCGATGGGTAGTGCAATCTGCACCCAAGAGAGCGGGTTAACAGAAATTGCGCCGCGCACCGCCACCACAGCGACCGTAAATCGAAGGAAAAAGTAGAAAGCGACGACCCTACCTAGAGGTTGTGGATGATCAACCTGCGCCCAGCGTCGTACGTGAAGCGGTGGGTGGTGAAGAGCTCGCTGGTTAGAAAGGCGCGCACCGAGGAAATATTCACCTGACGCGCGCGCTCCACGAACTCCTGCTCCGGTATCTCCACCTGCAGCGACGCCCCCTCCACCTCTGCCCGACCCTTCCACTCCCGCCGTAGCCGCCTGACGCGAACGCTCAAACGCCGAGTGCTCGTGCACTAACTGCTTCAGCAGGAACAGCAACAACTCTTGATTGTCGCGACGGTAACTCAGAAAACGCGAAAACTTCTGCGGAAGGCAATAAAAAATTAGTCACCTATCAGACAGTTGTCCAGCGTAGATGAAAGCCAAACTTGAGCACCGTGTTTTAGCTCAAAAAGGAGCTTTACACTCAACAAAAATCCAACAACTTATATTCACATAAATCGTATTTTTCGTAACATCACAACTCTTCTACCGCATGACTACTGATACCTATTGATCGCGCGGTAGTGGTTCTTCCAGTACTATTTTTCGAAAAGCAATTTCCATGATGTCCGTGTTCTTCTATGTCGATATAAAAGTAAGTTAGGCTGGGATCTAAAAATTCAAATTTTCATAAAATCACCATCTCAAGTTTCAAATTTTAACCACCAGCCAATTTTTGAATGGCTTTGAAGCGGAGGAGGTGGGGAGGTGAAAAGACTAAAGTGGCATTGCATAAAGGAACCAGAACGAGGCAGCGATTCAGAGTAAAAACTCAGTGCACTTGACCGAGTCATGAGAAGACACAACAGAGCAAGTTTTCAGTCGGTACGCGGGCTGGACGTCTAGATTGAAGCCCGAGCTATATGGCCGACAAACCCTGCCTAAGGTGTTGGATAGTTAGTCCAATCCTTGCATCGTACAGCTGCTCTTGATACTCGCTGATCACGTTGCTTTTATAGTCCACAAGTAATGCTAGTAGTCACAAATGCTTCACATAACTTATTTTAATTCAGGGACAGGCATTACGTGAAGAGCCGTGTGTTCACATATAAAATAAACATCCCAGTCGGGATTTAAACTAATAAGTTGTCCATGAAATAGTCAATACAAGATAGTTAATACGAACTTGATAATGGTAGCTAATTTATATCATGGACAAACTAGCTAGTTTTTTACTGAACTCGATTCTAGCATATTTTCTGTAGTGTTTCCAAATGTACTTTATTGCATTTTAAAACAAGAGTGATAAGTTGTCGGAAAAGCCCTCTCCTCGAGGCTAATATATCCAGTTATTTTGGCCGCGGTAAAATAAATTGCACGAGAAAACAGCCTTTGTGTTATCATCGGTGGCGACATTTTCGACTCTAAAAGAAAAACGTTTCCAACCGAAAAGTAGGCAATAATAGCCAGATCACCTCTTGAAAGAAGTGACGGGAACAAAATTTATACTAACCTGATACAGGTGTTTCGATTACCTATTGCCTAAACGATTCTCGAAACAATTTGACGAATTTTTTTTCGAATTTTTACATTCCGAGAATACCAGACTTCCAAACAATGTCCCTGGGGTCATAGCCCGAACCAAATGGTTGGGCTCAACATTCGAATTTGGGTGGGGGAAGGGGGGAGGAGAGCCACTAACCTGACGCATAGTCTTCATGATACCGTACTTCTGCGTGGAGACAAATGACTCGAGAACCATGCGGAGAGCCATATTGACATCATCCTCATTCACATACTCGCGAAGGTGCATGCGCGCATGGGCTTCAGAGAGACGCACCACCGACTCAATATGGCGCACAGTGATGGGAATGCTTCCAGTAGCCATCGACTCCCGACGCAGATCGGCGTAAGCCTTTGCCACTTTATCCTGGTCCATCTGGTTCAACTTGGGGTGCACACGATCCTTCGCGTACATTATGTACTTCTTTAACAGGTCCTGTAGAGCGACGGAGGAAGATAAGCAATGCAAGAGAACCATCAATTGCAAAAGAATGTTTGTTTAGACTGCAGATTTAACAGCACCAACTTTTCCAGGGATTCAGCCACCGATCCGATGAATTGAAATGGAGGTTCCATGTCTTACCGAGACATTGGAGCATAACTAACCTGTGGTAGAGGCTCGTAATCACCGACACTGGCATCGGCACTTCCCGTGGTCGCCCCCAAGCTGGCAAGCTGAGCCACTAGTGCTTCTGACTCCTCAGAACTCAGGTTGGGATGATGTCGCATGTGACTGCCCACCACAAATTTGGCCAGCATCTCATCCTGCACTGAGTCAACAGTGTCCCGCACCACACAGAGCACGTCGAAACGACTCAGAATGGGCTCACTTAGATCCACGTTATCAGAGAACGTCAGACTCGGGTCGTAACGTCCTCCAATGGGGTTAGCCGCCGCAATGACGGAACAGCGCGCCTGAAGACTCGTCACGATACCCGCTTTGCTGATGGAGATGCTCTGCTGCTCCATTGCCTCATGAATAGATGTTCGATCCTGGTCATTCATCTAGGTAAAGGATAAACTATACCAAAAGTATGTCCTCTAAAAGACGGAGAGAAGGATGTCAAACCAACCTTATCAAATTCGTCAATAAGACAGACACCCTTATCAGAGAGAACCAGAGCGCCAGCCTCAAGGGTCCACTCCTTTGACATGGGATTCCGAGTAACATAGGCGGTTAAACCAACGGCACTAGCACCCTGGCCGGTGGTGAAGACACACCGAGGCGCAAGCTGTTCCACATATTTGAGAAACTGGGATTTCGCAGTACCAGGATCACCACAGAGGAGAACATTAATATCGCCACGAATCTTATGCTTCTCACCGGGGTTCTTCGCCTCGCCGCCGAAGAGGGCGAGTGCAATGCCTCGTTTAATATCGTCGTGACCGTAGATGCTCGGTGCAATGGAGGCAAAAATGCGCTCAGCAATTCTCTCGTCTCGAGACAACTTTGTGATGGTCTTCACGTCCTCGTCGGTGAGATTTCCAAGGACGAGTTTATCCTCCTTGCGAATGACATTGTTAGCGTGAATAACGGTGGAAAACACGGGGAAGCCCGTTTGCACGTTTAACGAGCAGCTATAGTTGTTTGTATAAATGCCAGTGAGCTCCTATAGAGACAAAGCTGTGAGAAAGGCACTATAGCCTACGATTTCATCGCCAGGTTTACAGCTGTCGACCAAGTCGTCGAGGAGGATAGCATCTTTGGAGCGGGGAAGCCGTCCAGGGGGTACTTTTCCAGGACTTTCTTGAATGGTTATCCTTTGGTAGTTCTTGTAAACAGTCTGTAGGGAGTGAATTTAGTACTCATCTTTACCTTTTCAAGGTTGATTTCAAAAGGTCCGGTTGACTGACACTCTGAGCAGAGAGTAGGCTTAATTTCACTTGAAATTTGTGTTTGCACGAATGGACCGAGAACACAAGAACACTTTACACAGTTGTACCGCACCACACTGAGCTGTGGCATAACGCTAGTTGCGCTGGTTACCACTCCACTAGTACGCACCAGCTGGCTTAGGTGAAGATGACGAAGACTCCTCAGGTCCTCGATTAACGGAAGATCAACAATACGGACATTAACATGGTTGCTTATTCTGTCATATCGAGGATACCTAGCAAGAGTAACTTCCAAAGCACCCTCATTGAAGATCTCCAATACATGGAAAGGAGCCTCGGGAAGGAAGTAAGCAAGCACCTGTTCAGCAGCAGCTAAGTGCTGGTAATCCACGGAGAGGCATTGCCTGTTTTCACGAGCCATCTGAATGATACGTTCAGCGTACACACTAACGCCATGTTCATCGAGGAAGGTGCGTAGAAACGACTTAAAACGATTTTTTATCTCCTGGCGCGTGGCTGGTTGTTGAACCCACTCATTTACGGTCATTCCATGCATGTCCTCCAGGTTTTCGATGCTTTCTAGGGCCTCACCGAAGTCACCAGAAGGCTCCATTTCAAGACCGGCAGCAACCCGTTCGGCAAGGCGACGACGTCTAGCTGGAACCTCTCCTTCCTCCTCGTCAATACCGTACAAATCTCAGGAAAGAATGGTAAACGAAGTAGTTAAGCATTACCGGCAACTAAGCCGCGACGAAGAAGTCCTGTTGCCAGTGCTTCGGCACGATCACGTTCTCGCATCGCACGTTCAGCCTCAGCTCGGGTCGTTGGTGACATGCTTGAAAAGTCATCTGTGCTAGCTAAACCCTCAGGCTCGTAGACATCAAGTTCAGGAATGGGTCTAAAAATAGAGATGTAGAAAAAATTTACTTACCGATAGTCTCGTTCCATGTCATCACGGAAAAGGTCTTCACCTTCGCTTTCTTCCTGAACATCATCTTCATCACCGAGGATGGCAGCGGACTCATCTTCAAATTGTTGATCTTCCACATATGATCCATTGTCACGATCTCGACGGAGATTCCTCTGAGATGATGGATTGTCCTGAGACGCTAGAGCCAACAAATCGGGAACATACCGACATCGCGCAATGCCTGTTAATATACGCTACGACTGAGGGGTATCAGCAGTACCCTTAAGTTGATTGGCCCATTCATATTTTGAAGTAAGCATGATTATCAAATGTGTTCATATGAACAGCAGCATATGTTTAAGCACTTGCTATAAAAATATCCAACTGAAAATGTGCATGTTTCTTTTAAATTTATGGTAAGGCCTGAGTATATGGTCAGGGTGCACTGTTTTTATTCTATTTATGCGTAAATGAACCCACTATTTTATTTCCGTCTACGACAAGCCTAATTTCTTGAATGATGTCAAACCACGAAACTCATTTATCGTATATACCAAGAAGGTGTTTTATACGAAATAATAAAAATCACGGTTCCTGTTAATTTACTGAACTTGACTTAAGAGTTCTTTTAAACACTGCAAGTTTTAAGCTACCCACCATTAAGTCGTTGTGTAATACGATGGCTGTTTTTTCTCTCGGTATTGGCGAGGAGTGACTTCTGACTCGACCTTTGTACCACGGGGGGTGGGCTGGCCTTCGTGTTATGCCGGTAGCCCAGATACCTTCTCTGTGCTGAATATATGTTCTGCCCGCGTATTGTGTCTTCTTTCGTCTTCAGGGAAGTCTCGGGACGCTACAGTTGTGTCTGATTTACAGGCTACTATAAAACACTGTACTAGTTTCTTGGGATCTTCTGTAGCACCTCGAGACTACCCCGGAGACAAAGAGAACTACTTGGGCAGGGTACATATTGTCGATGCACAGAAGACCAAGGGGTCTGCTGGCATGGCCCGGAAGCCAGGCCACCTAACAAAGGTAAAAATATAGAGTTCCTAAGCAGTGTTAAACAAATAACTAACGTATTGCTCCCTAGTCGTTTCAAATCCTTTACTCTACAGGGAGACTTTGTAGAAGACATAATGTACTGCTAAAATTCAGCGGATTCCGTGTTCCCCTCCTCCACCTCTGATTTCATACTCTTGAAGCTGGAAAATTGGGTTACGAAGGACGTTTTTTATTTAGGAAGCACGAAGAAAGTCTACCGGTTCTGTAGTAATGCAGGTAAGCAACAACAGGCTAGCAATATGACCTTAAGGCAGCGGTTCAGTAGAAGTACAGTTTGCCTAAATAAACACAGTCAAAATAAAATATCAGTTTACTGCAACGAGAATTATTTTATAATGTATAATTATGTGGAGAATTAAGTTTCCTTTCGTCTTCTTTCCGGACGAAGAAGGTAGATTGTGACTTGGGGAAGTGTAGTGCACCAAGTATGTAATCCAGTTCATTTAGAGTTCCCCTAACAAGGTTAATGAGGTCCTTGAGCTTAATTCCATTTAATTGCTCCTTTAACATCTCCTTCTTGGTAAGTGCCCCCGTTCAGTGTAAAATGATGTAAAGGTGAACTTTCTCCTAATATGCTACTCGATCTTTCTTTACAATCTTGTGCGTAAATGGCTCATTTTCACCTATCTTTCAAATGCAAAGGCCAACTCATCATTTGTGAGAGGCCAATCAAAATGATGCTCTCTGATGCTACCATACAGAAGCGAAATACATGTGTCAAATGAAGCAATAGAGGCCATACGAACACCACGGCTTACACTCAATGTTTGCTGAGGGTTAGCAATCGGACCACAAATCCCAGGGTAAAGGGGAGTTGCTAGTGTTTATCCAAAGCCACTTTGCTTGGCCTTTCCATTGGTAAAGCACAGGTAAGTCCATTTAGCAAAGTGGAGGTAGCGACTGATTTAATTTTGTAATTACAAAATATCAGACTGGTTCGCACACAAATCATTTATTTTAATTTCGTGACCCTTTAATGGGTTGTTATTTTGACTTACATAAGTTCACTCGTAAAAGAACGATCCCGGTCAGCATATCAAAAGAACGCTAAAAGCGTTTTATCATAGATTTGTTTTCTTTAGCACAGATTCAGCAGCCACAAAACATCATGATATAAGGCAGAAATGATACCCCATCGCGCCTGATATTGTAGCGGTATATAGCATGACCTGGATGTCATGCAACTGAGTGGAAGTACAATCTGCTGCGACTTAAGTGTCCGCATAATCTAACGCGGAACTAAAACAACTATTAAAGCATTACACAGCTCCTCTCTTCTTTTGAGGGCCTTTCCCAGTGCTCTCTTTGGTCAGCATCCCTCGTCGGCCATCAGGAAGTAGTCGGCATTGCAAGAGAAACACTCACGAATCAGGGCATCAGTCATCATAACTGCATTAAACAGAAGGTATTTGATCCAAGGTTTACTGTGCTATCTCGGTAGCTCCACTGGAGGTGGGGTTTGGTTCTTTTAGAGAACTTTGTCAGAGAAGGAGAAATGCGCTATCCTCATAATTCTGGATACTGAATGGTGCTCTACAACGAGGCCATCTTGGATGCCCATCGGTGTTCATAAGAACACTGGCCTAAAAGCAGATTTATTTGATAAAAGTTGGGATTTAAAATAGTCCCCTGGGGACAAGATTTTGCGTCTAATACTCCTTACCACTTTGTTCTCACTTTAGCGCTGTCCATTTATATATCTCTTTGGGTTCTATTCAGTAAGTAGAGAATCGGATGAGGTATCGCGTGATCAATTAGTTAACATCTACATACGGGTACCGTAGAAAGCACTTTTTCAGATGGTGTCACTTCAATTGTGAGTAGTATCTCTACTGACGACTAGACTGTAGTAGTCGCCGAAGGTGGGCGTCATTTTCAGCCCTTCTGTTACGGTTGCCACAGATTCGCCTATCTGCAGCATATGCAACTTCTTCCGACACACTAAGGTTTATCATCCAGCAGTAGAAATCAGGGTAGTTGTCTTTTAGCATCGGGTGAGCTTGCAGTTGCCCCGAATCTTTCGGGACTGAGAAGCTACCGGCATGACCCAGAAACCATAACCTGGAACGAAAGTACAAGTGTTTGCGTAATCAAGCTCAGAGTCGAACAAACTATCAAAGCCTTACATACAATTCATGGTCAGGCGAACAAGGGAATGCAAGCTTAGTCACAGACACCAAAACGGATTTATGGACTGGAAACGTAAACTTCTCAATTAAAGACAGGCAGAAGAAAATCTACAAAAACCAGTCCTGATTGAATTAAAAGAGATTATTCGATTAAATCATAGCTTACGAACCCATTATCCTCCCTCAATCAAAGGTAAAGGCCAATCTGTTCTCATACAAAGCTAAAAGTCAGTACATGGAAATAGTAAACACAGGAGACTGAAAAGCAGCTTCACAAAGTGTACCAGTTGCGAGTAAACATTATTGTAAGTTAGGAAAAAACATATTATCAAGACAATCAAAGCCGGTTCTCAAAGCGTACAAGAATTTTTACTTAAGATTCATAAGTGAATTCATTAATGCAAACTAATGACCTTATTATTCGCCTCGGGTAACAGCACAGAACTGTGAAGGTCTAATGATGCTGCTGACCACAGGATGTTACGTTACAGAGTCCACAGATCGTTTTAAATATAAATAGTAGGCATTAATGCGCTCGCTATGAAGATCACAGCCCAAGCGCTTTGGCGCTAAAGTGTCATAGTAAAACGAATTGACATTTTGTGCAGCCGCATTCGACCAAACCAACTCTTCAGTATTTCAAGATGGGCTTTTGCTTAATGAAAACACCGAGTGTGCACTGCATTGTGGCAGAGGTAAGCGAGATTGAAAAAGGGAACACAAGGAGAAACAAAACAGGACCGTCTTATAAAGGTCTGGTCTACCTTACTAAATATGCAAAGAAACATGACGGTGGACTTGGCTATGTATACCCCAACGAAGGGGGCGAAGTTATTCGCCGCACCAGATCTGCATTTTGTACATCCCCATTGTTCAACTCACGTTTAAAGCATATCCGTTTAACTGTAGCTGGTCCTCTCTCTCCCTTCAGTGAAATCACCTCCATGCCTGACTGTATTTGTCACTATGCACAGAGACCACAAACAAAAGTTGCCTGAGGAGCAACTTTACAGACAATGGGCCTTAGACCAGTCCATAGTTGGATGTCCTTCTCTAACGCGCCATCGACAATTACCACCGACCGTGGCTTTCGGTCTGCACCTACCTTAGCACGAGATTTGCAAGCCTTGCTTGGCTGTGAGCACGTAAATGTAACCACTCAGCATCATGCCACCAGCGTCCTTATCGAATATCCTCACATCCAACAGAGTTGGGTGTTTTAGCCAACCTTAGTGTGACGTGGAATGAATCGCCTCTTGTCGTCTTATGTAGGATCCAATTCACAAATAAAGAGGTTATTGGCCGTTAGCCTTCTGAGCTGCTCTTCGGCACCACACTCTGCCTTCCTGGAGAAATGTTCATCGACCCCTCTAACAGTGGTGAAGTTGACCCTACCTCGTAGGCGGACCACCTCAAAAACCGAATGTGCAAACCAACCCTCACCATCCACTTACGTACAATAGACAATCACAAATCCATCCAGATCTTGGAGCGTGCCCCTTTGTGTTTATTAAGGTTGATGCCATTCGACCTTCCCTGTGCCCGTCCTGCGGCAGCCCGTACAGAGTGGTGGATTGATGGTGACACTTTGTTTGACGTTGACGAATACAGATAGCATAGATAGGGCAAAAGTTGGGTAAAGGATCCTCCTTCTCCACTCCATGCCACCACTTCACCCTGTGTTCCTTCTGCATCTCCCACACAGACAGCTCACCTGCGAGCAAAAGGACGCTTCTCGCCTAGGCCATCCACACACACGCGCCGGACGAGCTGCAAAACCTTCCATACGCCCCGCGTGCCCCACCTCGTAGTTTGGAAATTCATCATACTTCCATCACCGTCCACAACACACCGGAGAGGAGGAGAACTGTAGTGGTTCAACACTCACAAATTCCACTTTGACCTTACCTTTCCCTCTCTTCCTCGTCTACGCCCCATTAACCTCCTGTATTTTATTATCATCACGTGCAGCCTCATACATAAATTAACCCAAGGGTCCCATATACTCACTGGCTTCTGCAATTACGGAAAACCGCACTGTGTATCCACGCTCGTGAGCAAAATAGTCCAATTCAACGAATGCTCACCTTGAGTGCGTACTCATACGCACTTGAGAGGGTTACGCGACCACTACAAGTTCGACCCAGTAACTGCTGCTGAAACGCGACCGAGCCTCAACGAATTGTCACTGACGTCTAAGAGAGCCACACTATGTTTCTCCAAACGAAACGGCCCAAGCCACGGTGAGAGCACGATGTTCCACTCCCTTGAGTGGACCTAAATCACCTGTTTCGACGATAGTCTACAGACACGCAGAATACACCCCCCGCAAGACACTGGCCACCCTCTAGTGCAATCGCCCATGGCCAATCTGATCCAGCAGTGTCCACCTTGCAAAGGTCTGGGAAGCCCAACCAGACGCACAGCATACTCTACCATTAGTGGGCGGCGTCCATTCTGGGCTGCAAATTCACTGGAGCATCTTTTTTTCTTGCTCCATGGCACTAATATATCCGACCGGCCATTATTAGGGGCCAGTTCGGGTTGGCGGTCACGCGCAGCTGTTATTGGTCGTTCAGCCATATGTGATCGTCTCGCTTGTCTCGAGCATCGCAATTGGCCGTCCTAAATGAGGCCGCAGCCAACACACGTGCCCTCATGCCCTGGACACCGTGTGTGTGCGTGTGTGTACATGGCCACGCCCTAATGGGGCCCTAATAGCCGAAGTAAAACAGTGGCTAAGGTGAACCACCGGTCGGAGCAGACCGAAGTATTATGAGATGTGAGGACTTACATTCACAGTGGCGCGAGTTGCGCTTGGCGGTGGTGGTGTGTGTGTGTGTGGTTGAGCCAACCAATGGGCACACGGCGAAAATCAGTTCGCATCGATCAGATGGCAAGGACGCGGGACGATGGTGGCGAGCACGTGACATGTGCCGTCCAATCACAGATTCACTTGGTTGGCTGAAATGAGGACACAGCCAGCCTGCATGTGCGCACGTTTCGCAACCTCACAACATAACTGGGCGTTTGGTCAGCGTCCATCCACCCTAACAGATTACCTTGGGTTCAGCGTAATCTCCTTAGCCAACCCATCATGCCTCGATTGCGATGGTGACAACGGTCACTCTTAAGTAGAAGGAGCATGAGAACCAATTTCTCCGGAGCGTGGTGCCTCTGAGCGATAAGCTACTGCTGTTTTCTCGACTCCCATTGAGTTAGCATGCAACCTAAGTCTAATAAATGGTTATTTAGGGATTTAGTGAAGGACAAAAGGAAAAGAGCAAAATGCATATGTTGAGAGGGCAGCTAATGCGTTACCCAAATCCCCAAATCGCTATCAGAGAAGACTCCGTGTCTCTTCTTGTATCTGTGTTGTCTGCGGGTGCGGAACTATACCTACACCCCCCTCACGAGGCATATGATTGTGATTGGCGTATTTTTTTGAGCGCAAAGATGGTGGGATGTTATGCGTATGGTGTTGGAGGCAAATAGCTGTTATGATTCTACGTGGCCGTGTTGTGTGTGACCATGACGTTTCTTGTGAGGAAGGCCATAGAACCAGCGGGTAGCCAAGGCGGTCCTCAAGTACAGTGCAGTGGTGAGGCGCTTGACTGTTTAACAGTATGACACTTTCCAGAGACAGTCATAGATCTCCGTGTCAAAAAGGGCTCTTGCTGTGGCGGCTCCCGCCCCGCAGCGGTTTTTTATTCTCCTGAACAAATGGCGTGTAGAAAATCCGACCCTAAGTGGCTAATTGACACTGGCAACAGTGAGCACAATCACTTGTCTGTATGTACATTTCTCAAAGTTAACGCACGCTGGGTACCAAAACAACTCTCCGGTTTTGACCAGCACAGAAGAGACGGATGCAGCCAAAGAGGTGCTTTGACTAGAAAAGTACAATACTCTCCAGATCACCTTGTCATATGCAACAGCCATCAAAACAGAGGGAGCACGCGACGGTTAGGAGTTCAGCACCGATGACCGTAAAGCTGAAAGTACCAGGATGTTGCAGCCCCACCGACAAGACTTTCCATGTGGAGGCTCCCTTGGCGCCTGTTTGCCACCCTGAAGTTTGTTTCTATCTTTAATAAACTAATTCGCCACGCTTGAAATTGAAAACTTACTCTGGATTAGGGGCTGTCGGTAAAAGCCCAGTCACCATCGTGGGGGGTTAAATGGCGAAACAGATGTTAACACTTCGTGTCGTTGCTTGCCAACGGGGAGAGTAATAATTTAACGAGTGTCATTTTCAACACCTTCATCCAGCGCCAAACATTGGAAACATAGATTGTATGGTGAGAACAAAAAACAAGGATTTTAGTTGTGTCGCCGTGAAGAGTGCTTGGACAAAGTCGCAATTAATATGCGACTACTAATATTTTCATGGGCAGTGAAATGACATGGTTCTAAACGATAGTGGAGGTATTTTGGTTAATTATGCAAGGAAAATATTGAAATACTCATAGGGATCACATGAAGCCCAACTTGACGAAATTATTCCTTTTGAATAAACGATGCAATATAACGTCTTCACATTCTGTGAATATAGTATTTGAGTGTTAAAATGTCGCTCCTGGTGCCCTCTCTACATAAACGTAAACTAACACGACCTGTACTTTTCCAGTATGACCTTATTGTTGAGGACAGTCGGCTTGTTTGCGCCGGCTTAAACAGGCTGCAAAAGGAAGAGACGGGATAGGGAGGAAGACAATCCAAATGGGAAACCGCATTTACCAGATATGCAGTGTTTCCAAAGCTGCAGTAAGTATACAAAGGCAATTGAACACGTCAAAGCCAAATAGGCAAGCCAACGGTACTATCCAACTCTGGCAAACATATGAATTCGATGTATTACGTGCAGGAGCAGCAGCTTGACAGGCAGCAACAAAAATGCGGAAAGCAAAGAGGACCATGCAAAATTGAGCATCAACTAGTACCAGCCAACCGTTATTCCAGGCAACCATCAGTAACGTCTTGCAAAATAAGCTCGCGTAAAGCTTCCAACCACACTTTACGATCCTTTTTTGCAAACACCGAAGCCGCACCACGGTAAAACTAGAGCTTAACTACCTATCATCAAATGAGACAAGGCAACTACTTCCCCCGTCCCAATAAATACTGGAAATACAAGACACATTCCAACTAAAAAGCAACGAATGCGTTGCCATGAGGAGCAAAAAAACTCCGCGCTACATAGCCCCATTATAGGACCAAAACATAACGAATGGCAAAACACAGAAAATTTAACCTTTACTTAAGAAGTTCCACAACACGACGATAATAAGACGTGAAAACTTAAAAGGAGGCGAATAAAAAAGGACGAAGTTCGCTAAAAGAGGCGCAGGAAGAAGAAGGAAAAACCTTATTTAAGTGGATATCGATAGGCGAGGGAGCACAACGAATAGAACATTCATTTAAAGAGAGGTGCCTCCACCACCATATGGCCATTGACCATCTCCGCCTGCGTCTTGCTAGCGTCGACCACCTCCGGCGTCACGAAGGCTTTGTAGAACTCACGATGCTCACTATGCGAGGCGTTTTCAGTCTTCTCCTCCTTCCCCATCACACCATGCACATACACCTTATTACCCTTCGCCCACACCTTCACGTCCTTCGGCGCGAAATGAGGGTCCACTTTCAACTCCAAGTGCATCTTCTTCGACCCATCATCCGCCGTGACGATCTCCAGTCCCTCCTTGTCTAAACGATGTTACAGTTAGGGACACATCCACCCCAACAACCTACTCGTCACTGCCAGCTGCCTCTCCTGCGCCTCCGTGGGTTGAATAGCCAAACCCTTCTCCGGAGTCAACTTTATGGCCTTGTAGTTCGGCGCGTCGACGGGCGCCTCAACCATCAACACATCGTCCTACACAAGGAATGCACTAGAGGAAGGAGGTGAGGTACAAAACCTACCGATGTGAGTGTGGCTTGGATGTGATTGCGGTCCACCGATGGCGGAAGTGGAATGGATCGACCCACTGACTCCGACATCGAGGCATCTCCACGGGTCACCGATCTCTGAGCCCTAACAATCAACTTGTTCTTCTCTGTCTTGATGGTGATCTCCTCGGGTTTGAAGTTCTTCGCGTTGAAGTACACCTTGAAGTGCAACTACAAAAAGAAGCGAAAGAGGTGGGCAGGCAGACAGAAACCCGCACAACGAAAAATGGCAGCAATGCAGCCACTTAAAAGTGGACACAAGTACCGGTTCCGTTCAAGAGGTTGACAGATTAAGGAGGGCAACGCACCTTCCCATCCTTGCCCACTTCGTAGGCGTCCTTGAGGAAATCAAGCTCGCCGGGCTGAGTGTATTCGAGCTCGGGGTGGAACTCTCGAGGTTGAATGGCACTCAGCTCTTGCATCACACTATTAAAGGCGTTATCCATTGCTGAAAAGGGCTAAAGGGACAAATCCCAGGTGATATAGTCTTGGATACGCATATCCAAGATCATAAACTAGCGGACTTCAGCTCGAAGGCGGCTCACCTCTAGAGAGAGGAGATTCCTGTGCATGTTCGTGACGTCATCGTGCAAGGATTGACGAGACCTCTCCACCCAATTAAACACCTGATCGAATGGCATGAGAGCCATTTGCGGAAACTCCCAATCGAGTAGACTGCGTCGCCTGCTCCACAGATCCCTATCATCGCGAACAGGGAAAATCGACATTACACCGCAAAAGCACAACAACACGAACGGCGTTGAGCGTCACCCCCACATCCACTTATGTGTACTCGTCTTCACACGTAATTGGCTCGTGTCTAGCTGGCCAATAACTGCATTGTCAAGGGTTTTCGGATGTGTGCGATTGGCTGTCAATGCCAAGGTCATGAGCAAGGTAAGTTTACATACAGCATTCATTGGACAAAGGGTAGGTCAATTGATTACCCATAAACGAGGCATGTG